AAGATGCAAAGCCGAACGTACTGGCTCACGTTGACGCAGACCAGCTCGAGCTATGGAAGGCCGACACTCCCTTCGGGGTGAAGCCCAGCAGCATTCAGAGCCTTCCTGCGACGAATAATTTACTCGCGATACACCGGATTTCTGATTACTGGCCCGGTGAGATACCTCCGAATAGTATCCACGTTCTTATTAACCCCGGTAAGTAGCTTGCATTTTGAATATCCTGAAACGACACGCTTACCTAATGGAGTTCTTGTACACAAAAACGCCGTTTTTTTTTGCAGCTCGTCTCAGTGAGTCTGACCTTCTTGAGCTCTGCCCGCCTTGTCTTGGCTACATTAACAGACACGGAAGTACTGGAAGCACGAGGTTTCAATATGCTCGCACGCCAGGATCTGTCGTTACATGGCATAACTTCGAAAATGATGTAAAAAATGCCACGTGGGATGACACCCGGAAGTACCCCTCCCATCCGGCATTTCAACAATACTTGACAATATCCGATGAAGAGACCATACGGCAAGCACTTGATGAAAATGTGTTTCGTTTTCTCAATAATTTGCTGTCACATGAAGTATTTGGTCGTTTCACTCTTTTAAAGAGTGTCATAGGAGAGCCAGATTTCATACAGAAAGATTCAAACGAGGTCCTACGTCTTGTTATCGAGGTAAAAACAAAGTGGGCTTTATCTGCAGACAACCTTGTGACAACATATGCCCAGAATCTCACTGAGTGTCGAAACAGAACCACCTCTCGAATATGTGTTTACCATCAACTGAAGCAGGTTTTCGGATACCTTTCACACAACCATCTCCAGTTTGGAGTGCTCACTACTTATGATAAAACCTGGTTTCTGTACAGACGACAACCTGATGAGCTCTGCATCTCACCCCCCATTCAATACAACAATCAACAGCCAACGCTGTTCCAATGCTTTTTCTATCTCACCTTTCTGGCTCGCAACAAGCCTGACTGTGATTCTGCACCACAATCACCACAACCATTACTGCCTGATGATGACAATGGTGATTCTTCCTATGATGATGGTGATAATTCTTCACACAATGATGGTGGACGAAAACGAAAAGCAAGCAGTCAGGATGCCAGAAGAAGCAGCCAACATAGGGTGCTGATGGCAGGCAGGGGAAGAAGCAAAGGAGGCAGGGGAAGCAAAGGAGGCAAGAGAAACAAAGTGATGGCTCATCCAAGTCATTCATCAAATAGAGAAGAAGAGCATGTGCCCTTGGAATTCTTTGACTGGGGAAGCTTCAGAGTACTCAATGTTCTTGGAATGGGCTGTACTGGGACAGTGTTCAAGGCTATTCTGCATGGAGAACAAGTTGCATTGAAAATATGTGACTTGTGGCAACATCCAGACTATGAAAAGGAATTACTCAATGAGGTTGAGGTATATAATGCTTTGAAGGACCTGCAGGGAGATTGTGTTCCAAGGTTCAAGGGTGCTGGATACACTGCTGGTGGACTATTTACCATTGCAACAGATATTGTTGGTAGGCCCCTGGAAGATGCAGAAAGCTTGAGTGATCAGGAGTATCTGGTGATTCGAACAGCACTGTCATCCATCCATCACTATGGCTTTGTCCACAATGATATTCACAGAGAGAACATTCTGGTCAAGCGCACCAGCCACCAATTCTATGCTTCTTTCATCGATTTTGCCTTCTCCAAGCAAGGCTGTCAACACGACTTCCAGAAAGAGATGAAGTCATTAGCAAGGCTTCTCAGACAGTCATAGTTAGGGTTCTGACGTTGAGTTACTATTACTGCATCCAAGGCTCAACTTACAATGCAAGTTCATAATTATGTACTGGTTTTGTGCACATTATCAACATTAGAAAATAATTTGTCTGGAGAAGTAGATAATTAGGAATTATTTGAACTCTCTTATAATCATCTTGATCACATATATATGCTTTGCATTTCCTTCCATGAGAATTGTTTCTCCAATGTGTATGTATATCTGTTATACATATAACATAAATAAAAAACAAGAACAAAATATCTGTTCACTAATACTAATACTAATAAATTTCAGCATTTATTATACAATCTATGCTGCTACTGGTGTGATGTATTATTATAATTAGAATCATTGTTGTAACTGATAATAATAATAATAATAATAATAATTATACAATATTATGTTGTCAAATTTGTAAAAAAATATGATGAGGATGCATATTATATATTAATAATATTAATATTGTTACTGTGCTTCTAAGTCTATTGCACCAAAACTTATAACTGTTCAAAAGCTTCATGACAGTTGGAATATGATTGTGATGGAACACTGCCAGGACAAATTTGTCACCGGTTTTCTTCGCGAGGCGGCTGCGTCCCCTCACCGTGACAATAGGGCTCTGTAGTGTCGATGCTTAGTG